TTTTGTGATAGTCATCCTTATACTCATCTCACCCTTTTAGGGAACTGTAAGTTTTCAATGCAGACAAGGGATATCTATGTTATCTTCATATTCCCTGCATAGAAGACTTGCATTCAGTGTACTCAAATATTTGTTGCTCTAATTTTACTATCGACAAATTACAAACCAGTATAGAAAACTGATACAATTATATGTGAAGCTTCAGTATGAGTACGTAAGACTGTCAGTTATATATTCATTAAATAAACTCCATTAACTAACTAGTCTACAAATACATGTGGATCTTAAATAACCTAACCACCATTTCAATTCTTAGACAATCTAGTGGTGTTTTTGTAACATAAATTAGTTCTCTGGATACATTTAAAAAATATTAATAATGCAGTCACTAACATCAATCTCAAAGAGCTCAAAGCATCAAAATGAGTTTCAAAGTAAAATAAACTTAACCAAAAATAACCTTTTCAAATCTGCAAAATAATACTGGTATTACATAAATAAAAACTAAATGTTACATAATCAAGTCAGAAAAAGATATTTTTACTCTGTAGCTAGCCAAGCACTGAACCTTCACCTTGGTTCAAAGCGCATGGCCCACCATTCCACTTTACCATCTACATCACAGCAACTCATGTCTCACACAGTTTTTCTTAACAACCTGAAATATATAGAAGTGGCAGCCAAATGTCCCCTAGTCATTTCAATTTGTAACCGAGTCTACGGAAAGAGCTATTGGGGCGGGGCGGGGGGGGGCGCGGTTCAGAGCTTAAAAAAGCACATGTTTATATATTCCTGCAATTCTAATGTGTGGCCAGATAAGCAAGCATTTTCTATAATCTCTTACTATAGCTTTATTACCAGGAATGTAACAAAATCTTAGGAAATGTATAGTAACTGCATGAGACTTTGTCCGGATAAATAATAATGACTATAATTGTTTACAAGACAACTTTCCAAACTAGAAAATACTTTTTAAGATGCATCATATTAAAGACCTAATTTTCAAACAAAAAAGTATGACATTATTCTGTGGTTACTTTTGTAACCCAAACACTAATCTCCTTTAGCACTGGAAATGAATATATTCCTTTAAGTGCCAGCAAACAAAACACACACATAATATAGCATAATTTTAAACATCAACATCCAAATATTATAGTATAAAAAAGCCACCTCTACAACTAACCTAATAATTTTCCCTTACCATCTACATGCAAGTGAACCAAATTTAGGAAAATACATGCTTTAATGGACCTTAAACTACTTCCACTGCCCCCACAATTTTAAATTCCAGCTATTTTCATACTAATTATCTCCTAGGAAAAAAAGCACATACATTTTATTTTTCTTAGACACATACATTTTAAAATGGTAAGCAATCCATAACTACTTCTAGGTATTCTACATAATCTTTCTATTGATTAAAAGAATTACAAAAGAAAAAAAATCCCAATAAGAGTATTTAATACAAACTTAAAAATGACAGATACTTCAAAGTGAACAACTATGTATTTTAGCAATAGTTCCCTGACAAAAGATTCCCCAACCCTTTAGCATTATATAACTACTATAAATACATATAGTATTACTATATTCATGCTATATATTACTATATATTATTTTTTAACTCCAATCCTTATTAACTGAAAACAAGATTAATCCAAAAGATTTTCAAAAATGTACTAAAAGTGTCACCATAGTTAATTTCTGTTAAAATGTTTCACTTTTTAATTACTTTTCAGTAACTCCACTATAATTAAAAAAATAAGAATATTGAATTATGTTACCAAAAGATGGTCAGCATTAGTTCAAAGAGAAAAGTAATCAAGATCAGCTATATTTCAAGAACTCTGATTAAGCAACCACTTGCTGTTTACAATCTTTTAAAAATATTTTAAAGGTATTACTGCAAAATAATATACTGTATTACTAATTTCTTTTTCATCCAAAACCCCAAGCACTGTATATCAAACGGCAATCATTCAAACAAAAATTCTTTCAATGACTCCAATATAAATTAATCTCACAAATGCATTCAGAGACTACGGGAAATCAGCAGTTTAGACAAAGTATTCTCACCTAGAAAAGGTACATACGAGTTTAGAGGCAAGTAAGAGACAGTTATTATTAAATGTTTTAAACTTTCCAAATCTTTTAAGTCAAGAGTTAACCTTTTTTAAAACCTACTAATTTAACTTTAAAAACTTGAAAGAAGATCCAATAATATATAGGAACAAGAATTTTTGAAAGCAAGTAGTAATAGCTAAATTTCTGTCAAAAAAAAAAGTTATACAAGGTACAGACTAAATTTGTTGGGGGGTCGGGGTGGGGGGGTGGTAATGAGAAAAATCATCGCTAAAAAGAGAATCCTGGGAGTTATTTAATTCCAGTATCTGCTCTTAGGTAAGTAGCCGGAACCTACCCCAACAAAGAAAAGCCAACTCTTATTTTTAAGACTTTCAGACAATAAGAATTCTGAAACTAACACAGCTCAACATTCCACAAAAAACATACTGTTTACCAGGGCTGTGCAAAAGATGGATGACACTAAATAATTCAATACTTCCTATAGCAGGACTCCAGCTCCTTCATTCTATTCAGAATCCAATTCAAACACATGGTGCGAGGTTATATAATATCAAGCTTTACATTACACATTTCACTGGTATGTTCGAGCTCACAAGGACGCAATCATGAATTGCATGCGGTTGCAAGCACATTCTCTAGAATGTTTTATTTTAATGTTAAGGCTAAGAAGCCTTGACCTAAATAGGTAGGACCTCACAAGCATGAGGTCTGAAGTAATGAAGAACCTTTTTTCTTTAGTTCCACAAAACATTTAGTAATCAAATTACCCAGTATTTTATGAAGCCTTCATTCTTCCACAAAACATAATGAAGCTTCGCAAGTTTCTCATTTATAAGATGTTGCTGTATTCAAACATCAAGAAAGTATTGCACTTGTACAAAAAAATACCTGAAAATGTTCAGTTCTTTTACAATTTAAACTCAGTAGTGCATAATAACTGCAGGGTCCAATATTACAATCTGAAATACAATGTTAAGCACAATCCACTGTGAATCCATCTAAATACAAGCATTCTGAGACATGAAATCAACTAGCATTTTACACATTATCCACGTAAAACATCAGATTCCATTTATTTCTTCATTACCATAACCAAAAGCCGTAGCCTTGGCCAAACTTTTCCAAATGTATTATCTTTGCAAACAGTTTTACCAACCTCCTATTAGATCGGCAATAACCACTCCAAAATAAAATAATGCTCCTTAAATTTAAATATTTTGCTTAATCTTTTGGAATGACAACTTTGACAGTAGTGAAGTATTTTTAAATAAAATATTTTAAATACTCAGGTTGAAACAAATTTCAAGGCTTAGGTCATTTATGCTTAGATCATTTCAGAGCTAGTCGCTATTCATTTTTCCAGCAATAATTTTAATGAAGCCAATTAATACATAGTCAAAGTTTAATTCAACTTTTCTCTATGGGTCAAAGGGACTAGGCTTACTGAAAAGGATTATTTCAGTTTAGCTTTCTGGTCATTATTTGTATTCAAAACCCCTTACACTTAAGTTATTTTGAAACAAAAACGTAAGTGTGATTACAGATAAAAGGTATTAAGTGACTCTCCTAAACCAAACTACAGACAAAAATTAGGGACAACTAAATTTTTTTTTTAATCAACCTAAGAATAAAATGCAAGGCTTTAGTCATTTCAAACTTCCTTCTCAATTGCAACAACAAAGCTAAGTGTCAAACGCAAAGCCACTGATTTCAGCTAGAAAAGCAAATGTCTTAATGGATGCAACACCTATCCCAGCACACTCCAAGTTTCATGGTCCCAATTAAGAAGCAAGCATACAAATATCATTTCGATCAGATTTTGGTCAAGAGACACAAACTGATGCAGACAGATCGAGACTCCAGTGCCTTTGTTCAATAGCTTACGGGTGGGTAACTAAATGTGCTACAGGTTGATAAGCATTTACCAGGCTTATGAATGCCGCTTCCAAGCTTGAGAAAGGTACAAGAATTCTAGATGCAAATAATCTTGGATAATTTTTATTAAACACCACCGAGCTACACACTCCGAAGGAGAGGCCTATTCATCGCTACTATTTATTTCCATGTTTACCTCTCCTCCCTCCCCCAAATCCCCCCCCTTCACTTTCTCCTCCCACCCTGTCCCGCCATCTTGGGCCGACAGGAGCAGCCATTACTTAACTAAATGACAGTGCCAACAACTTTCCACACAAATAAACAGAAACTGCACCCCGAATTCCCCCCTGGCCTCCCCTGCCAGACACGCAGGAAACGAGGCTCCAAAAAGAAAACACATTCATAAGTAACTGCAGGATTTCTATGGCCGAAAGACCCAAAAAGTAAACAAGTCACCTAACTTCAGGTAAAACACCATACCCCTCGAGATACATGTCAACAGACCCATGCAAACTCTTCACCGCCCTAAACTACGTGCAACTTCCCCCTTCTGGGAGCGGGGACACAAGAAAGCCCCAAACGTTGGGTTAACAGTAGACTTCCCGAACAGCCTTCCTGGAGGAAAAGAATAAAAACCACGGGAGGCAAGTAAGTCGGAAATGCGGGGAAATCTGCACACATTTACAAGCCCTTGACCCTAAACAGGCACCTCGGAGCGATCATCGGTCACCCCTCCCAAAGCCGTAAAATAACAGGCAGTTTTGTCGACCCAGTTGAGCTCGGCCCCAAAGCGCTGCCGTCTCTGTTCCTCCAGCTACGAGAGGAGAGGGCGATTTCGCAAGGGAGCGAGTGAGGGATCCGGGGGTGTGTGTGGGGGGCGGGGGGAGGGGGGGGAGCAGAAGCAGGAAATAGTTTTCCGGAAGCCCCTCGGCCCTCCTTCGCGGCCACAATGAGCGCCGGCCGGGCCGCGGGGTTCGGGGCGAGCGGGGCGCCGGCCGGGGAGACCGTGTCCGCGCTCCGGCCCGCAGCTGCCTTACCTTGCCCAGCAGGGCCTTCGTCCTGGCGCCATCTTCATGAAACCTCACGAAACCGAAGAGGCGGCTGTGGAGAGAGACACACGCGGCTCGTTAAAGGTCCGACAGCACCACCGACCCATCCCTGCCCGAGCCCGAGGCCCCGGCGGCGGTTACAGCACAGAGAGCGCCAAGCCAAGGTGCTCGCCCCGCCGCCGCCAGAGGCGAGCCGCGCTCCGGCCTCCCAGGAGAGCGGCGCCAACCCGTCCGGAGCCGACCGGGCGGGTGGCGGCAGCCCGTACCTGTCCAGTCCGCCGAGCGCCTCCCTCTCCTCGGCTGTCAGGCTCGGGGACGCCTCCTCGCTCTCGCCGCTCGCTTTTCCCGCCGCCATTTTCTTTTCCTCATCACCGAAAGCGGCTGCGGCGGCGGCAGCGGCGGCGGCGGTAGCGAGCGACACTCCGCAGGATTTCATGGAAACGCAGCGAATTCACAACTCCGACGCCGACACCTCCCCCCGGGCCGGGGCCCACAACGACGCCCCCAGTCTCCGCGCGGGACCGGCACACCAACTTTATCGCCGCCTCCTCCTCCGCCGCAGGCGGCAGCGACGAAAAATCCCAACGCGGCGGCAGTGAAGGCGGCGGCGGCAGGGGCTGCAGAGCCCCCGAGTCGGCAGCGGCGGCGGCTCGGCTTGTAGGGTCACATCGCGGGAGCGGGCGAGGGGCAGCCACGGGCGGAGATGGCGGGAACGGCCGGAGCGTGCGGGGTTCAGGGACGCGGGGGGGATTCGTTGGAGACACAAACTTCCCCGGCACCAGCACAAAGTTGTTGTAATTGTGTCACACAGCGAACCCCACGCCGCCGCCGTGACCCCCCCTCCCCACCCGGCCGGCGCCGCCAATCAGCGTGGCCCGCTCGCTTCACGTGACCTTTGTTGACTCACGTCAGCCGTGGCTCCACTCAACTTGCTAGCTGCCCGAGCCCCGCCCACCGAGGCCCCCACCGACAGGGAGCGGGACGCACGCCAATTCTGGCCGGTGGTTGGCTGCTGGGCCCGTCCGTCCGAGGGAAGGGTTCGTCCTCGAGAGGGAGCAGCTGATTAGGTTGTGCCAGTTAAATACACTGGGGCAGAGAATGGAAGGTCCGGGCCGTGTCACCTCGGGAGCCGCGACGGGCTCGGGAGGGGGAGGGGAGCGGTGGGGAAGGGCGAGGTCCGGCACCGCCCGCGGCGGGCGCGAGCAGTGAGCAAGGACACCATGGACGGCCTTTACCTGCACGGGAGCTAGGTGGTGGGCCCAGACCGCGGCTCCGGCATCGTGCGCTTCGGGGGTCCTGGGCCCCGGAGGGCCTGATAAGGGTCGCGTCGCCGGGAGGCGGCGCACGGCCCCTGACCTCCGCCCTCCGAAGAAGGCGCACACTTTTGGCACCGCTGGAAGTAATGGCCTCCGCGAGGAGCGCACTCGGGCAGTGGCTGCTGGCCCCCTGCTCCGCGGCTCAGGCGCCGCCCTAGGCCAGGCGTGCGCTCTCGGCCCCGATCCCCTCGCTCGCGCCCCAAGTGAAGGGGGAAAGGTCCCCTGACCCCCGGCCGGAGGGACTGAAAAGTCACCCACGGGGCTCTGGCTCGCTGACCATAGCTCCCCACCGGCAAAGGTCTGTTGGCGGCACTTTGGGTCCAAAGTTTCATGCTACCTGTGTTTTATCAGTAGTTCATTATAGTGTTGTAAGAAAAAGCAATGACGAAAAATTAAGCGAGATCTCCAGGATGTTGGTTTCTACTGCTCTGATCTCAGTGGGGCCTTCATGGTAGAGTTCGGGCTGCTTGTAGACAGACCTGAGAGAAGGCATAATTAAGATAGTCAGCGAAGCTTGCAGCCCAGAAAACCCTTTTCTACCTCCCACAACGTGTCTTACACAACAGTAACACTTTCTTGTTCTGACCGCGTCACAGGTGCAAATAAAAGTCACTAGTCTGCCTTTCAATCCATAGTATAACTGGGAGAAAAAGAAAACATGCCTTCGGTCTATTACTCTGTTCAAAAGACAAATTTAATAAGATATGTCTCATATAACAGATCTGTTACAGGGCACACCTCCAGTCTTCAGGGATAGGAAAAAAATTAATGGACATACGAAGACAAGGTTTCCTTTATAGACATGGACACTATATTTTCAATAATGTAACCAATAAACAAGGTATATTCAACTTGGATGTTAAACTATAAGGAAGACAGTTCAGTGCTGACTCAGTAATCCTAGCAGTATTCAGTGAGAAGCTATGGAAATCCCATACTGTGTGTGATTTTGCACACAGTTTTAAATTGTTCCCCTGTGACTAGTAACTAGACTAACAAACTATAGTTTTATATGGATTATATTTCAGGTTTAATTACTTTCTCTGAAACACCTCTTCCACTCTTTATGGTATTCCTTCCATTTTACTTGAATGGGTGAATATACAGGGCTGAATATTTTCTGCAGCTAAATTAGCACATGCATTGTAAACTTTCTCACAACAGATGACCTTCAAAGCCCGGGAGATTTTGACACCACTATCTCCCCCCACAAACCACCATACACACACACACACACACACACACACTTAGACTTGCACAAGCAGAGATAGAAATTCTGCCAGTATTTGGCAGTCTTCCTGGAGCTGGTGGTTCTTGACTCAGGCCGTTTCCAAGAATTATAAGGATGCCCACCTCCAACCCCTCAAAACCTTTTTTCTCACTACATAATCATTACTAGGTAATAGCAGCAGAATTGCATGGAGTGGATGCAATGTGTGGGGTCGAAGTCAGGCAGACCTGGATGCAAATTATTACTCTGCACAGGCTGTGTGTCCTTGGGAAAGTTACTTATCCTCTAAGCCAGAATTCTGTGTCTAGTCCAATTACAGTCCATCATGAAGCATGAGATAATTTTTATACAGTAACATAGTCCTTATATCACTGTGTAATTTTTTAGATCTTGCATAGTTTATATCATATAAATGTATGTACAATAGGTATGTAGCCTCTAAGGTTTAGGTCCTTCACTGGAGAGAGAAATGGCGAAGTGGGATAGATGATTTTATAACAATTACTTCTATGAAAAGTGAACCTGAAAACCCATATGGAAGGCAGAGCAGTTGAGCCAAAGGAGCATGAACTGTGGAATCATGCAGATCTAGGTTCGAATCCTAACTCTGCCACTTGACAGCTGGGTGACCTTCAACAAGTTAGTCTAATTTGAGCTTCAGTTCCCTCATCTGTGAAAAAGAGAAGATAAATCTTTTTAACACTTTACAACATTATTTTGAAGATTTAATGCCGTAAGGTAGGTAAAGTGCCATACACATAATATTGAAAGACATCAAAAAAAAAAAAATAGGAAGGTTTGTATTTCTAAAATCCTTTCTAGCTTTCCACATTCTGGGTTCTAAATGTTGATCGTCAGTTTACCGATCACTTCCTCCTTATCCCTCCCCAAACTCCCTATAAGCCCAACACACTAGGCAGTCCTAATATACTTTTTGTTTGTGCATATAACCCCAACATTGCTACAACTCTCCTTCTTTATTCTAAAATTAAACCTTATATCTCTTAGTACTGCTTCCTGTTTCATAATTATAACTTAATACACTAGGAGCTGGGGAGAATAATTTTAATTTACCAAGTTGATTTGACTAATATATGCATAGATAAATCAATGTTTTAAAAATATATAAAATTTGTGTTACGCTGAGTCCAATTATGGACTAGTTAGGGCATCGTTTGTAGCAACACTGTGTTAATACTTATGTAAGTACCATCAATTAATATCAGAGGAGAAGCCCACTCAATTATAGGAAAATTAATTTAACTCCTTTTAAGCAACTAAATAGTTGATCTGAACTATTTAGGAATATGTAGTTCATTTATATCGTTAGTGCCACATAACCTATGCATACAATAAAAAGTCACATAACAGAGTCATGATTTATCTAGTCTTATAAATAGAACTATACTTATCCTTTAAATCAGGATCAAAAATAAATTCAGCTCTTCCTGCACCTACCGGTGTCATAAAGATTATCCAACTCATGTCCAAACACATTGATGACAAACATAAATATAGGGTTAGAGTTGAGGGGAGACAAGGAGCCAAGTACAGACAGACTTTCACCTGTTTCAAAAACTTCAGTTGTCAGAATAGTTTTGGGACTTCTGGAAGAAGCCACACCCATCAGGAGCCTAGACTACCCTTACCAAGCTGTAGTGAGGCATCCCAAATCCTACCCCCCACCACCACACTGGGGAGCCTGGGCTTCCACTCCCACCCAGCAGTAATGAGGCATCACTCCTTCCTTGCTGAGGTGGTGTCAGAGGAGGCCTACTGGAGGGTCAGAACTTTTACAATGCCCAGTGGTAACAAAGCCACCACTCCCGTGGTGTCGGTGGAAGCAATGTGGGGAACAGTAATGAGGCACTCCTACACCTCCAGACATGGTGGTATCAAGGTAGGCCTAGTGGGGAGCCAAAACTTTCATTCACACCCAGTGGTAACAAGGAGACCCTCCCCCTCCACCAGTGTCAATCAAGGTTGACTGGGGAACTTGGACTTCCACTCCTACCTGGCAGTAACGACACAGTGCTTTCCCTTCCCCAACAGAGTGATGTCAGAAGAGACCTGCTAAAACACAATATTTAGATGTATAATACCCACAATGTCCAGGTTTCAATGAAAAATCACTCATACCAAGAACCAGGATAACCCCAACATTAATTAGACAAGACAATCAACAGATGTGAACACTAAGGTGAATCAGATGTTCACGTTATCTGCCAAGGATTTTAAAGCAGTCATAAAAATGTTTCAATGGCAATTGTGAATCCATTCCAAGCAATTGAAAAACCAGAAAGTCTTAGCAGAGAAATGGGAAGTTTCAGCAAAGAAATAGAATATACAAATAAGAAACAAATGGACATTTTAGAACTGAAAAATATAATAACCACAATGTAAAACTCAATGTATGGGCTCATCATCAGAATGGAGGGGATAAAGGAAAGAGAGATCTTCAAGACAGAGCAATAGAAATTGCTCAATCTGAACAACAGAGAGAAAATAGACTGGAAAAAGCAAACAAACAAACAACACCACCACCAAAAAAAGAAACAAAAAAACCCAGAGCCTCAGAAATCTACGGGAAGATAACAAAAGATCTCACATCTATGTCATCAGAGTCCCAGAAGGAGAGGAGAAATAGGTCAGAGCCCAAATGGTATGCAAAGAAATAATGGCTGAAAACTTTCCAAGTTGACACAGTCCCTGTCCTGAACTCTTACTTGGAGAGTTGTATAAATAAATTTTATACTATAAAATAGAGTGATGAGTGCTATAAGCTTTACCCAAATTTCTGTGGATGCTCATAGAAGAGGCAACTTTATCAACCTAGAGGTACCAGATAAAGTTCCTAGAGAATAAAAGATGGATTGTTGGGAGCTAGAGGGTAGATACAAGGGTGGGTGTCTTCCCGGCAGAGGCAGCAACAGATCTGCAAAAGCACAGATGCCTAAGAGTATGAGAGTTCTGGTAAATTCAAGAAGGTGAGCATGGCTGTGACCAAAAGGGTAAGGAAAGAATTGGGACTTGAAGTTGGAAAAGTAGGCAGAACCATGAAGAGTCCAGTAAGGCTTACTAAAGAATCATACCAATGGTTATTGTGATTTTAGGCACAGAAATAGTAGGGTTGCTAGCGGTGTTAGTGCTGCTACTTTAAACAGATTTCCTTTCACCTGGGCTCAGCATCTGGCACCAAGCTCAAAGAATATTGACTAGCTGGCTGGTCTAGCCCCTTTGCTAGACCAGGGATCAGAAAATCCTAACCTAC